TAAAAAAATCCTTCACATAGTACTTGGTATAGATCTTCAGAATTTTCAACTTTACATCTACCGAAGAACTAAATTTACTTAAATGCAAGACTTAACATTTGCAAAGCCATTAATTTCTCTTAATTTCTGTATTTATCATATATATACTGCCTTTCAACTGAGTGATTCTAAACTTAGGAGATCAAGAATGAAAAAAAAAATGGCCATAGGACCATCACAGGCCAATTCTCTATTCCTCCTCCATGCTGGAAGAGTGACAGGTCACCTGGGCAAAGGACAGAACATTTTAAGGCAAGATGTTAATAGTTTTAAAGATGCCTGTGGCCTGTAACTTCTTTTGGCTTCCCCAACAGAAGACTTCACCTACACTTCACACAGCTAAGATGTTTCATGTGCTCTTGATGTATAGTCATATACTTTATTTTATTCTACAGAGGTTATATTAGTAAAGTGGCCCTTAACTGAAATAAAATAGAGTAAAAAGCTCACACTGCCTCCTACTGTTAGAAGGAAAATTTCATGAGGTCAAAATGGTCCGCAAATTGCCGTTTAATGGGAGTAAGGAGTTTATCTTAGTTTTTTCTTTCTCTTTTTAATATTATGACCTATTTTCAAATAAAAACCTCAAGTATTAAGATACTGTCTGCAACCCATACAAATGTACTGCAGAAAACACTACTAGGTATAACTTCAGGGTTGGAAATGATCTTCCTCAAACATGTTTTTGACTTGGTATGTGATGTAATTAAACAAAACAAAACACTGGGGGAAAAAAAAAGAGGAAAGAAAGACAGAAAGAAAGAAAAGAAAGAAAAGCTAAAAGCACTGCCCTGCCCGGTCAGGTGATGAGTGACTTTACCAAATCGAAGGCAGTATTAGCAGTTGGTTTCTCCCCTTCTCTACCCACAGTGAGGGAAACCCCTCCCTGTTAGCAGAACAGAGTCAATATCCTGCCGATCTTGTAGTCAAATGATAATGGCCATACCCCCAGGGCTGCCTAGACCTTTATGATTTTCTTCCATATTTAAGGAGTTGGAAGTAATGTCACCCAACTTGTCACTGAGGTATTTCTGTGGGGGGCATCATGCACCTGCCCCTATCCACCTCAGCCATGATCCTATATTAAATCACTGAATATGAAACACAGAAACACAAACAATAGTTTTGGGTTTGTTTCTTTAAAAATGACATTTGTATTAAAAGTCTTAAAATGAAGAGACAATGATTAAACGCATGTCTGGAATTAGAAATTACAATTAGAATTCTCTTGGTACATCACAACAGTAAAACTTTGCTCTTTGCTTCTGGAGGAACACCCTAGAACAGATAACCAAAAAAATTTTTAAAAATAATATAAAAGGGGAGCTAAATACCTGAACATTTGAACACAATGAAGCAAAATAAAAAAGAAAGAAATAAGGGGAAAAAAAACCATTGCAAGACATGGAAATTACATTTTAAAGGCTGGAAATAATAAAGAAATTCACCAAACAACAGGCCCTATTGTCCTGGCTCCTTCAGGAAGATTACAGAAAGGAAACTAGGAAGTGGTTTGGGGAATAGCAGATTCTGGGATATGGTGGGAAGTTCACAGGTTGGCACCGGCTGGAACAGCTGAGTTTTGAAGGCACTCTGCAGACACAGGGGTGCTGGGGGCCCTGAATCACATTTTTGAAGTCTTTGTACTGTATTTTAAAGAGTAAGTCATCAAAACCTGTCACTGCCAACCAAAAAGAACAAAAAGCTAAACTTAAAAAAAAAAACACACACACGCACACAATAGTACACACAAAAATGTGCAGATCTGTAACATTTTTTTTCACAGCTGATAAAAAAAAAATACTACCGTTCTCCCCCAGACTCCCTTTGATACAGTAGGTAAACAAAATAGATTTTTTTTTTCCACAAATATCAGCAGACACTTTCTGGCACCCCACACTGTATTGGCATCAGTGTTTACAGTCCCAGTTCAGATGTGCATACTTCAGATTGGATACACTGTAACAAGAATCCAACTTTGCATAGACATCCTTAGAATCACAATCAGTCACAGGGTTGCCCTTCCAAGCTGGCAGAAAAGGAACCCGATCTTAATTTCCAGCTACTCCTGGAAAACAAGGAAAAAACAAAAGTTTCTTCCCTTCCTCCTGCTCCTTCATTTGGTTCTCCCGGACTTCCTTCCATGTATTTAAAACTTGGAACTAGAAAAGGGTTGTTGGGAAAAAAAAAAAATATATATATCCCCCCTCCCTTTCCACCTTCTCCCCGTACTCTTCCTCCCCACCCCATTTTTTTTTTTTCCAGGCTGAAACTTTCGCTTGCTGGTGTCAAGCTGCCAATACAGCGCCCTAACGGCTATTTAAACGGGGAAATATGCGTCAACCAAAATCAATGAGAAACGTACATGCTTCCAAAAGCCACATTTCCACCGGGTCTCCGATGGTGAGGACTGGGGAACCCCTTCGGACACGGGGCGGAGGCAGGGGTCGCCAGCCGCAGAGGCCAGCCGGGCTCCCGGGACACCCTGGCCAATGCAAAGTCGTCTCCAATCTCAAAGCAAGAAGAGAAATCACATTGAGAGAGTCGGGTGCGTTTGGCTTTTGTGCGCAGAGCGCGGCCGGCGCGCGGCAGCCGCGGGCGCCTCAGAGGATCACGCAGGCCGAGCAGCAGCCCTCGTCCCCGTTGGGCTGCGCCGCGTAGTTCATCTGCCGCACGATCTCTGCGAACAGCTCGTCCACCGAGGCTTTGTTTTTGGCCGACGTCTCCATGAAGGGGCAGCTCCACTCCTCGGCCAGGGCCTTGCCCTCGCCGTACGAGACCTCTCGCTCGCCCTCCAGGTCCACCTTGTTACCCACCAGGATCATGGGTACACGCTCGTACCGCTTCACGCGGATGATCTGGTCCCGCATGGGCTTGATGTCCTGGAAGCTCTGCTGGTTGACGAGGCTATAGACGAGGATGAAGCCCTGGCCGTTCTTGATGTACAGGTCCCGCATGGACGCGAACTGCTCGGTGCCCGCCGTGTCCAGGATCTCCAGCACCGACGGCGACGAGTCCACCTCAATCTCCTTGCGGTAGAAGTCCTCGATGGTGGGGTCGTACTTCTCGATGAAGGAGCCCGTCACAAACTGCACGGTGAGCGCGGACTTGCCCACGCCGCCCGAGCCCAGCACCACCACTTTGTACTCTCTCATGGCTCCGTCGGCGCTTGCCGCGGCCCCGTCGGGGCTGCGCGCCGGAGAAAGCCTAGGCTTGGCGGCTGGACGACTTCTCTTCCTCAGCCTTGCAGGAAAAACCTAGGAGAGTGGCTAGGGAACGCAGGGCTCAGAAATCACCAAACGGGGGCCGGGAGCCGGGGGCCGGGCTGGCGAAGAAGGCGGCGCGTCCCCGGGGCGCGGGTCCCGGGCCCCGCAGCAACCCGCGGCGGCAAGCGGTAGCCTTGGCGGCGGACCGGGAGGACAATGCCGGCAGCCTGTGCGAGGCGACGGTTGCAGCTTTTCGTCGCGGCCACCCGGGAGGGCGAAAAGGTGGTGGCGGTGGGCTGCGGAGGTGGCTGCTAATTGCGCGCCGGACCGGAACGCGCGTGGCATGAGCCCCCGTAGAGCGTGCGCCCACCGCCGCGGCCCATCGCGCTCTCTCTCCCGCAGCCTCCGCGGGGCGAGGGCTTCCTACTCGCCGCGCGCAGCCCGGCCCTCCCCGCCCAGGCGAGCATGCCCAGTGCGCCGACGGCCGCGCCCGGCTGATCCGCCGCTCCTGGTTTTCCGGGGGGCCGGGCGGGGGCGGGGCTGAGGGTGGAGCTAAAGATTTGAGTTTGGTGGAGCGGATTGCGAGGCTCGTCCAGGAGCTGGATGAGAAATGTGTGGGAGTGTGTAGGTGTTTGAGGGGTGCTGGGAAAGCTCAGGTGAGAGGATGAAGGTGTGGGAGGATGGGTTCGTGCATAAGGGCGGTGGCTCTGCGAGAAGCGCGTCGGCGCGATGGGCCGCTCCCGTAAAGGGCTGGGCTGTGCTCTTGCGGACTCCCGTTATCAAAAGCCTGTGGACTCCATTCTCCGAGCCCGCAGCGAGTATGCGCCGTCTCAGGGCCGGAGACGCAAAGGGCATTTGAGTGCGAGAGCAGCGGGTGGAGTATCTTTGCCCACCCATGGTGCAGCTTTTTCTAAACACTTCGCCTCGGAAACACTACTCGGCCTTCTCTGGCCACTCCTCCTGCAGTTCATCTCCTCGACAAAGAAAACGGGAACTCTGGGCTTGAAATCCTGTCCTGACAGGGGAAGGGGTTGCCTCTCGTGACCGGAGCTCTCTTCGGGCTGAGACTTGGCGCGTCCCACCCACGTCCCCACTCGGCTGGGGCGGAAACCCGGAGGTCGGACTCAAACCCAATCCAAAAGTCGTGGCGGCGCCTGCAGCTAGTCAGGGCATGCTCAGTGGGCAGAGCAGGTTTTCGGGCTTAGAAATAGGAAGCTTTTGCACCACACACCCACACTCCAGCTCAAATTACCTCTCCCAGACTCGGGGCCCATTGGTTCCGGGGCGCAAATCTCACACCCCTAACTCTTGTTCCATTGGTTACCGCCAAGGTTTTACCAGTTTGGGTTGCTTCATTGGCTAAAAAGTAGCCTCGGCTCATGATTGGTTATTTATAGAGATTGAGTTGGGAGGCGGAGGCACAGCTGTTCTTTCTCTGCTGCTCCCCCGCCCCCTTCCTCCCACTTCCCCAACCTAGTCGTTTTGAAGCTCAGGGTGAAAAAATAAGAAGATTTTAGGCGGAGAGCTCAGAGCTAAATATAGTTCTTTGTTGGTGTTTTCGAGTGCCTGACTTCGGGGTGCCCAGTCACGACTGTCCCTTAAAGGGAGCAGAAAGGTCTAGTTACAGTTCTTGGTCCACAAGCAACAGCAAAGTTGCCAAGTGTTTTGCAGGGAGGGAAGTGGGGGACTAGGGTGTGGAAATGAGCCACTTTGAATTCGTGTCACTCGGAGGGGTGGGGGAATGCCCAGGCTTGCCCTTATAAAACGTCTTCGTTTTGGGCGGGCAGTCTGCAAATTTGGCTCGGCTCGCACTTCACGGGAGGTGCGAGGGAGATGTCTCGACTTGCTCAGAGTCTCCCTCCTTCCTCGCGGAGGAGAGATGTCAAGACCTGTCAGAAGACTCAGCGAAGTTTGCATGAGCCCTAAAGTGAAGCGGGTAGGAGGGGACTGAGCTGCGTCAACCCGGGCTCTGAGTCTTGCCTTTTTTTTTTTTTTTTTTTTTTTTATCCGAGGCTACTTCCCACTCCCCTTGCGCATCAGACAGACGAACCAGGCTGTGTGCTAACGTTTGGTTTCAGTTCCTTAGTCCCGCCGTGACTCACGGCCACGTTAGCGAGTTAACCTTTCCCGAGCTCCTGGCTGTAGCGCAGAATCTGCAGCGTGAAGTCCCCCGCCACCCGACCTGGCGGGACGTGGGCGGCAGCCACCGCCTTGGGTGAGGTAGGTGGTGCCCACCCCTGCCCCTGGCCCCACTATTTTAGCGGAGAGAACGGTTTAACCTTGACTATCAGAGAGCCTGGAGATAACTATGCTTATGTAATTCTCCAGAAAAACCTCTCAAAGGCATATTCACCTAACGCAGCTGAAGAGAACCCCCACAACATTTATTTACCCAGCGTTTAATGTCTGGCAAACGTTTTCCATGTCTCATATAGTCCACATAATAATTATTATATCTATTTTAAAGATGAAGAAACAGGTCCTAGAAGATACTGGGTAACTTGCTTGTGATTTCACAGCCAGTTGGGTGGCCAAGGTAGGATCCCAACCCAGGTGTGTTTAGCTGCAGAACCTGGTTTGTAACTACTAAGCCATACTACCTTCTCACAAGACAGTTCCCAGATTTTACTTTCTTAGGTTCAGTCTTCAGGTAGTGTGATCAGACTGTCTCTTAAACCCGAGCAGGAGGGATCTCTACCATGTGGTTCTTCTCTTGTAATGCCCCCCTCCCATGGGGTCAAGGAACCTGAACCCTCTTCTAGACCATGCTGCAGGGAGTCACAGTTCTAGAATCCTCTGTCCAAAGAGTACCAAACCCTCCTCCAGGACTTGGTTGGACCTTTGAACTCAGTCTTGGGTCCAGGAATGGCTCTTTGTTGGAGTGTGGGCAGTGCTTGGACTTGTGGGCTGAGGTGTGCACTCCCAGGCACTTTGGGCCCCTACTAGGCGCCAGAAGAGGGCTCAGTGGAGTCAGCTTTCCCTTCCCTGCCCCTTTCCAGCCTCCTCCTTAGAAGAGTCCAGGAATTCATGATTCACACCTCGCCATCCAGGTTCTTGTAAAGAGGTATTTGTCAGGGTGGGAGGATAGATCGATCATACTTTGTTAACAGTTCGTTATCTTGATTTATAACTTAAATACTTAGATTACTGCCATGTGGGCCTCTCTTTGTCCTCTTGCCCACAAATACTGGGAGTGGTTCTCAGTATGACATGGTACAAAATACTTTGTCCTTTACAGGTCTGGTGTCTAATCTCAAGAACCGGATATCAATTATTATCAGCAGGTCCCTTGAGCTCTCCTCACTTTAGTTTCCTGGTCTATAAAATGGTGATAATAGAATTTGCCCTACCCACCTAGCTACACGGGGAACCTTGGAGAGAGTCTAGTGACCAAACCCCTCATTTTGCATCAGAGAGCACTGAGCAGAATTGGAACCCTGGTGTCCTAGCAGCACTTTACATGGTGCCAGCTTGTCCTTGGGGATAATAATTAGCAGATAGTGGATGAAAACCTGCTTTTAAAGCTGCAGTGCCCCATAAATGCAGGGCAATTACTACCCTGACCCAGCCCCATCTAGAAGATACCACCCTCAGGACGTCAGGTAGTCATGTGGGTGGGTATTATTGAACCTTGGTACGAGTACCAGAAAGATGCCACAGTTTGAATACTTTCTATTAGGGATTCTTCAGTAGTAACTTTTACTACGTTCGATGGTCTCCCACAGAAAGATTTGCACGAGGGCTTTGGGATTGAAAATGAAGTAAGGAAATTGCTGATGCACAAATTTTTAAGGTTGGTCACTTCCTCCTGTGAAATCTGTTAGGTGTCTTTGCCTCACTTATGGCATGAATCATTATCCTGTACCATAATTATTTACATGTCTGTGTCTTGTCACCCAGCACCATGTGAATGCCTTGAGGGCAGAGTCCATATCTGGTTTATCTTTGCAGCCACCTCTGTCCCTCATAACACCTAGTACGGTGCCTACACGGGAGGCCTTCCGTCAGTATTTATTGGTGAATGTATGAATCAAATTTATTCCTTTTCCAAATTCCGCTTGTAGTAGAAGATTATATTAATCCCTGGTGAGAGAGAACACTTCCTGGATCCTTAGAAAAATGTATACTAATGTTTCGGTCTCCCTGAGTCATAAAAATGACTTTTAAGATGAGCAGAGTCTACTCTTATTTGGGTGAAAGCACAAAATCAGTGCGGTCTTGAAGAAAGATACCAAAGTGTCCAATGGATAAACCCTTTCTTTGAAGACGACTTAATTTTGCACGTAACACAAAAAGGCATTTTTTAGAAAACAGTCTAATGTAAAAGTTACCGAGTAAGGACTGCTTAACCCTTGACAATGTATGTTGCATAAACAAGGGTACCATCCCTTGGCCTTTGCTCACACAGTGGGACTGCTGAGCTTCTGTGATGCTGAGGTTGGGCCTTCAAACAGCTGGATGGTTTCTTAGAATATGAATCTTCTAAGTCCTTAAGAACATAAGTACCTACCTGTCCTCTACATTTATAGAAAGTAGAGGTTTATTTCATCATGTTTGTAGTTTTAGCCGATGCCACCTCTAGGTAAACATTTTAACTAGTGTTTCCTTTGAGCTTTTTTAAGGTTTCATTTTTTATGGTCCCATTTCGCTCTGGTTTTCATTTGAAAGGAGGGCATCAGTAAAGATGGAGAGATGGAAATCCAAGCAATAGGATGTCCGCTGAATGGAAGTTTTGAGGAGAGGACAGAGGAGGAGTCTGAGGACTTGAGTAGGAATGCCGAAGACACATCCTTTCTCTCCCAACAGTCAAGAAAAGCCAAGAGACCTGAACTGGAGCTGAGAGGGTGAGACGTTGAGAAAGTTCAAGCAACAAGCAAACATCTCTCCATAAACAGAAATGGCAAGGCATCTGCTGAAAGAAGGGAGGTCAGGTGTGGGCTTGGGAATCAGAGTAGAAATGAAACTGTTTTTAACAGTGACTGTGTGGTTCGCGACATGAAGTTGCTAAAGCTGCTAAATTTGGTTTACGTGAATCTGTGAAGATGCCAATTCAACTTCCTTTTTTTTTTTTTTTTTTTTTTAGGAAGGATCTTGATAACTCTTCTGGTCATATTCTATTAAAATTCCAGAGGGCTTTGTATCGACACATACAAATAAATAATAACAAAATTAACTGTGTATCTCCCATATGCCAACCTTTGTGAAAATACACAAACCACTGACTTATGTGATGAAAAGTTTCATTACTAATGGGAAAGTAAATGAACTCAATAAAACTCTCTTACTTATGCAGTCTCTTGAGTTTTTCTTCCTATTGCCTGCTAAATTAAAATAAAACCTTGAGTACTTAAGCTCAAAAAATGAGTCATTTTGAGTAGTGGAATATTTGTCTAGAAAACGTTGTACTTGTGTAGGGGGTTCTGTCACAGTAAGAAAAAGAGTTATATTATTTTCATTACAGAAGTAGTATACGTTTACTGTAAGGAATTTGGAATGTATGAAAAAAGAAAGAATAAAATGAAAATAACAAATGACCCCCCAAAAAACCCTAACTTTTTTTATAGTTTTCTATTTTAGTCTTTTATTTTTATTTTATTGTCTTTTATTTATATATTTATAGGTTTCTATTTTATGTCTTTTATTATAAAATCATTTAAAAAAGAAAACTAATTCTAGTTTTCTTGTGGCTATTTTAACTTCCAGCTCAGTGTAGGGCTTCACGTATTCTATAGCCAATAAATAAAAAGTCAAATAAGACAAATATCTTAAGTACTTATTTATCAAAGAATTTTCCTCTTTTATTTAATGGGTTTTGATGGGAATATTTGTCTCTCGTATGCTAAAGTTGCCCAGGAAGTTGCTTTCTCGACAAAGTCCCTGAGCACAGCCTGGTTTGGGGTTGTTTGCCTGTTTGTCCAAAGGTGGGATGAAGCATGTTCAGGTTCATGACCTCTGGGCAGCAAAACACAGCAGCCTGTCTGCACAATTAACGAGTGAATCAAGGGCTTCAGCTGCATTCTCCCAAACGGTTTTGTCCTTCTCCAGAAATGATCTTCCTCTTTGTGGCACACAGTGCCCTTTGATGTGTCAGCACCATTCAAAGCCTCACTGTGACTTCTGCATCATTAACACATTTGTGCTTTCTTTGTCACTTTGTGCCCAGGCTTCCATCTCTTTTGCCCTAAGTTTTCCCTGGGGCTTATAAGAAATCTGCCCCTCACTCTTTCCATATGTCCTACTGTGTTTGGGAACTGAATTATTCTCACGGCTGCAAATTCTTTATCAGGAAAAAGGAAAAAAAAGATACTTTTGCTGACATGGTTTTAGGCTGAAATTTTCTCTCAACTGTTCTCGGTGTTTGATTTGAATAGAATACCAGGCATAAGCAACATTTAAAATTGTATATTCATTGTAATAATGGAATGGAAATTTCTGAAAAGTACATGTCTGATAAATCTACTTTCTCATTGAACCTCATATGTAGTAAAATTTCCTATCTTGAATAACATGTTTCCTATAGGGTGACCCAGGGAATTAATATTTGGTGGCTGGAAGATAGAAATAACGTTCACAGACACCACTGTATTACCTCTGACTAAGCTGAATAATTTTGTAAAAACAATAGTTTTATTATCCTCGGTAAGCCTATGGTACTGAGGGGATCCTTCGTTAAATGTAAATTAAAATGCTGGGAAGAGGTTGGGTTGGACAAGCGAGGCTATTTTTGACTCTCCAAGCATTATTTGTACTCTGTAAGCAACAGGTAACCTCTAGGATGCCATGTAATTTCCCAAATATTGGTCTATTTTTATTCTGTTTAATTCAGATATACTTTTATTAGTGTATAAAGCTACAAATTAGGCCAACTTTATATGACTTTTATGTTTTAAGAATTACAGCTTGAGCCTAAGGTGGTTTCATTCTAAGGGGTGGGCAAGCCAGGGGAGGAAGGTCACAGACAGTAAATCAGGCCAGTGAATGCACGTTTTTGTAAGGGACCAAGGTACCACTGGAGAAGTCAGAGAAGAGATTGTCGAGGCTCATAAATGTGATGCAAGGACAGCAGAAATTATCACAGAGAAAAAGAGAGATGTCCGTTCAATGTAGTGCTCACCTCTCAGGTTACCCTTTGGGATTGCCCTGACGAGACTCCCTAACTGAAAGAAAAGAAAGTGCAATAGAAAAACAAAGTCTCTAGACCACTGAGATGCCAGCAGCGTTTGGCCCACAGCTTCTGCAACATTTGATGCTGGGGCCTGTGGTATTTTGGCAACTGTAACCACTACAGAGGGTCCTGGGGTGGACCTCTACAGCAGCACATATCTCTTCAGTGGATAGCAGCAGAAAAATTGTCACTTTGGGCATTGGCAGCTGTGGCAAAGACCTCAATATAATGAGTTGACACAGGAGAAAAGGGAACGGTCCAACCCATAGAGCAGTCAGGGAGGCTGGTCAGGGCTGGTCGGGGAAAGAGCAGGAGAGACGCCCCTAGAAGGGTCCAGCACTATTTGCAAAAGGTTAACTTCCCATGCTGTTGTTAGAATCTAAGGAAAAATAATAATTATAAGATACATCACTGTGCCTGTCTTACCCCTCAGCTGGCATAATGTAGGAATTTAGGTTACATGGCAAATTGTTTAGAAATAAGTTTTCTTAACAAGCCACAAAACTTTTCTAACACCCCCCCCTTTCCCTTAGGATTTGCTGATCTTTTTTTAACATCTTCTAAAGTTGCCTCACACTGAAAGAATTAGAAATACTTATGGCTGCACTTAACTGGAAACCCAGCTAAGGGATGGGGAGGCCAAACAAATAAAAGTTTATTTCTCACATAACAAGAAGTCTGGAATTGGAGTTCTTCTGGATGTGGTTCAATAGCTCAGCGAAGAGAAATGAGACCCAGAGATCAAGGCTGCTTTTGTGGCAGGAAGAAGGTGGGGCTGGGAGGGAGGGGCCAAGGATGCACAAGGAGGACCTTCTGCTTTAACAAGAAACAAAAGCACCAAGAGAGTTCCAGTTAAATTTCCTGGGCCAGTGCTGCACTGAATGCTCTTCTAGCTGCAAAGGAGCCTGGGAAAATTCCCGTTTAACTTTTCCACCTTTTACAGTGAAGGAAGGTAAGTGAGAAAGAATGGTGTTGGATAAGTCAGCCTACAGTGTTTATGCCAAATACCAGACCACTCTTTTGAAACTTGGGATTTTTGGGGCAATTGAATTTGCACATCATTTTTTCATGCCTGTTCAATAAATATTGGGTGAGAGATAAGTACAATCCCTTCTCTGTTCATTGAAAAATCACATTTAAAAAATCCTTATTTGTTTTCAAGTCTGGTTGTGTATATGATACAATGTTTTGGGTAACCCAACTTTGGTTTATACAAAAACCTTCCAAAAAAAACAAAAAACAAACAACAACAACAAAAAACTTTAAAAAAATTAGATGTCCGGCAACTCCTATAAAGTAGAAAGAGCATTGGAATTTTAGTCTGACAGACATACTTTCAAATTTTGGCTCAGTCACTTCCTAGATGTAAAACTGGGTGACTTACTTAACTTCTGTGGTAGCCAGTCTCCAAGATGGCTCCCGCTGTTCCCACCTCCTGGCATTCATACCCCTGAATAGTCCCCTCCCACAGTGTTTCAGTGTTGACCAATGGACCACAATACAAAATGGTGGTGTACCGCTTCTAAGATTAAGTTATAAAAGACTGCCGCTTTTGCCTTGGGCTCTCTCTCTTTTGAATTTCTCAGTCTAGAAGTCAGCTGCCTTGTCTTCAGGCCATCCAGGCAACCGTGTGGAGAGGCCCATGTGACTAGGACCTGAGGTCCTTACTCCAACTGCTCTGAGTAACTGAGGCCGGCCAGTCACCCAGAAAGTGAACTTGGAAGTTAATATCCTCCAGCATTCAGGTGACTGCTACTCCAGCCAACGGCTTGACTACAGCCTCATGAAAGAACCCAGAGCCAGAACCATTCCGCTAAGCTGCTCCCAGAGTCCTGACCCTCTGAAACTGTGAGATAGTAAACATTCCTTATTTTAAGTTGTTAAATTTGGAGGTAAGCTGTTGTACAGGAAAAGGTAACTAACTGAACTTCTTCAAACCTCAGTGTCATCATCTGTAAAGTGGGGATATAAATGGTTGTTATGAGGCCAATACATACCCTATGTGAAACTGCCCAGTGCAGTTCCTGCAACAGAATAAAGACATAGAAAAAATTAATTGGACAAATATTATTTGTTTGTAATCATTTTCACATGTTTACCCTTTCAGGGTAAACTCATCTTTTTATTTTAGATTAGCACAGTTTTTAAAAATGCTTCTGCCTTTTGCTTTTCCCTAGTGCTAGTGTGGAATGCATGCTGTAGAACACGGCTGGCTGCGTGGTGTTGTCTTAGCATTCTACTGCACTGGGGATGGTTTTGTTAGTTAAGGTCACTTGTGTTTAAAAAGAAAAAAAAGGCACGTGTATTTAATAATGAATGTCTCTCCCAGAATGCTAACCTGTAGTGTTTGATATATCTTCAGTGGGCTACCAACTAAATAAAATATTGCTGTAAATAGATCCTGTCTTCTACTAGAAGACTTCTGGTTATTTTATTTTTTTAAAGATTTTACTTATTTATTTAGAGTGCATGCGCGTGCGTGCGTGCTGGCGTGGTGGTGGGGGGGGGGGCAGACGGAGAGCAAGCGAGCGAGCAAGAGAGAGAGAGAGAGACAGAATCCCAAGCGGACTGGGTGCTGAGCACAGAGCCGGAGGCAGGGCTGGATTTCATAACCCTGAGATCATGACCTGAGCCGAAATCAAGACGCTTACCACTGAGCCACCCAGGTGCCCCAGGCTTCTGGTGATTTTAATATCACTCAGAAAATGCAGCCCCAATCATGGATATAAGGAGTCCATGGTAAAAGGCACTGCCCACCACCCACTCTGCAGAGTCGTCCAGTCTTACTTCGCTTTGTCTCTAGTCCTCGCCCCTTGGCACTGTCCCATCCATTTCTAATCACAGACGCCAGGATCCCAGCACAGCTGCCACCAACTTTGCCGCACGACCTCAGGTCACAAAAAACTACTTTCTTATTTCTTGTCTATGCTACTTCTATACCTTAGTTCATGTGCACCATAAGAAGTGTATGTGAGCAATATAAAAATGTATATATCATATATATATATATCAATGTGTGTATGTACAGTTAGAATCCTTTTTTCTCTTGGCTAAAATGGCGTGCTGGGGATAACTTTTGGTTTGTTGAACAAACTTAACTGTCATCTGTTGCTGGATGCTCAG